GCAGGGGAGCGAAGGAGGGAGGGAGCGAGGGAGGAGCAGCAGAATATCCGGCAGAGAGTGTGGATGGCGAAAAGGGAACTCTGGACCCTTCTTGGGGGCATTGGCCACGAAGGCATGCGCAGTTTGGATGCTCCAAAGCGGGGCCAGCCAAGGCGCAAGAGTTCGAAGAGGGGGAGCGGCGAAAGAGGGGTGGGGGGCACGCATGCAGTTTATCTTCCCTGCCTCAGCTCCCTGCTGCGCAAGGCGAGGAAGGAAAGGGGTGCTGCCCGCGCCCCTCAGAGCTGCGAGCCGAGGAGCCAAGGACAGCGCCTGATTATCGGGCGAGCCAAGCGCCCGACTCCACTGCCCCGAATCACATCCCTGTGTGCAGGGCGGAGCCAGTGAGGGGCTTTCCGGGAAAGGGGTCGGGGCGAAGCTCTTAAATGCATCCCAGTTCTGCCTGAAGCCTGTCCGCTGGGGGCACTTTGGCGCAGCGACTGTGACAGAGAGACAACCAGGAAGGTTCCCCCAGCTTTTTGACCAGTGCGCAGCCCCCTTCAGTCCTCCAGAAACCTGCACATATAATACCAACCCCCCCCCCCCTCCCCGATCCCCCCCCCCCCCCCCCCCACACACACACACTACACCCCATTTGGCACGCCGAACTTGTGTGGCAGACAAGAACCCTCGTGGCTAATGGGGCGGGATAAAAATCCAATTAACTTCCCCCCATTTTTTTTACCAAAAAACCCCCATAATTACAATACATCACAATAATAATATAACAAAAACACAATAATAAAAAGGTAAGTGATAAACTGCCCCCACCACCCCGGAGACCAATGCTATCACCATTCACATACCGTAACAATCAATAATATGTAATATACTTCAAGTATTTCCATATCCCCTCCAGAAGTTCAGATAATCTTGACTGGGTTTACAGCCTTTGCCTTCTATCAGTACTGCTTTTACAAAATCTTCCCAATTGTCATTATATTTATTTGCTTTCATTAACCCTCTTTTAATTTTTATTTCGGTCGTCAGTTTATCATTAATTGCCATGTTCCATATTTCATTATACCATTCATGGCTTTGCAAAACCCAGTTCTGTTTCCATCCAATTAACAAACGAATAAATGGAGATGCCGCCCCAGAAGCCCCATGCCACAGCAGCCATTTTGTGAGAGTGCCCACAACACTCACTGTTCCAGCCCGCTCATTGCTCCAAAAAGGCGAGGGATGCTTTACGCTGCACTCCCCTTATGCCATTCCCCATCCTTCCGAAGAAGCTGGTGTTTTCTGCCACATACTCTGTTTCAAGCATATCATAGGGACCAGAAACTTAGCTCTCTTGAACCTGAGCTCACGTTCCAATGAACACAGCCCCAGTGTTGCCCAAAGTACCTCCAAGGCCTCCACCCACAAAGATGCAGAAGCGACTCACCACCACCAGGAGTGCAGGAAACCAGGAGGTTCTCCCAGCGTGATGTTCTTTTCCCACTGGATCTGAGAAGAGTCAAGAGAGAGCCCAGGTGGGTAGGTGGGCTGTGGGGGATCACAGGTGGGGTGACCCTCGCGGGTCGCTCAGTCCTGCCACTCAGGCTCTGCAAGGCAGGACAGACTACCGGGGGGGCGGGGTGTTGAACCTCTTTGAAGCGGCACGCTCCATTTCAGAGTTTCTTGGGGGGGGGGGCATCCCTGTGACCAGCAGGGCCGAGGGCCAAAGGCCACAAACGCCAGCATGTTTCAGCCTGACCCACAGTCAGGAGCTGACCCTTCCGAACTGCCTGGACATCAGCAGTTAGGTGTCCGGGCAGGACTGAGATGCCCACTGGCAAAACCTCGCCCGCGGGTCTGCATTCAGTGCCCCGGCTTGCCATAATGGGGGGGGGGATTCCTGCAGTGCCTTCCCCTACACAATCACCCCTCGGGGCTGGCTCCCCACTCTCACCTCCGAGAGGAAGGTCTGTGCAGACTTCTGAGCGCCGATGTGAAGGAGGTATTCGTAAACGTACAGCGCCAGCCTGGGGGCAGAAGAGGCTTCCGTCGGTTGGTCTGCTGATTAAGGGGCCTCCCTATGCAGCCAGTGAGAGTCAAACGGGAACTCGCCTCGGGGTGCCTGGCTCGGCAGTTCCCCCCCAGAGCCGGCAGCCGAGGCCAAAGGTCCCCGAGCCTGGAGCTGCTTCCCAGAACCGGTGAGACACCCGGGGAGCGCCCCCGCCCCTCGCAACTGCTGGTCAATGGTCTGCTGCTTCAGTGCACACCTGTGCCTGTGCACCTGCGGTGTTTCATTACCTGCCTTTCCACTACCCCACACTGAGTGGCACTGAGGTACAGCAGAAGCAAAAGAGCGTCTTCTTTTGCATTTACAAAAAATACCCCCTTTCCGCTGGTATTTTTTTTGGGGGGTGGACTAGAAGTGCTCTTTGGACACAGAAGCAACATGGGAGGGGTCATCTAGAGAAGCTGGAAACAACGGCAAGGAGGGAATGGGGGGTCGGATAAACGATTTGTGCAAAAGAGCCCTTTCAGCATGGAAGTGGCATGCCATCATTGTGCTTGACTGGACCGCAATTCCCACCCTCCTCAAGGGTCACACTGGCTTGCGGGGAGAGGGAGCTGTGGTCCCACACCCCCAAATGGCACCTCGGTCTTTCCCTGGCAGGATGCTCCTGCCCCGGAGCATGGCAGCGACCCCGGCTCTGTGGGGGGAGCCGAGGGGCATGACACCATGGCAAGGAAGCCCCCCTGCCTGGACCAGGAGTCCTGGTGGCCCCCCCCCCTTCCCCTCAGCTCTTCTGCCTCTAGGACAGGGCTTAGTGGCCTCGCGGGGGAGAGGAGAAAAAGCCACGTGCTGAACCACAGAGCCACACCCTCCAGGCAGACCATGGGTCCTCGAACTGCGGCCTGATCTGGCCCACCAAAGGTTTGGACTCGCCGCCCCCCTGCCTGCTGCCACCCACCGCCAGGGCCGTCTGGACAGCGTGATGGGCCTCGGGCAAAGCAGTGTCCTGGGGTCCCTACGACAACTACAACTGCTGTTAATTTTGCAAGTTTCCCCATTTCCCAAGGGTTAACAGACACAGATTAGTATGGGGCCCACGGGCAAGTGCCCACCAGGCCCATGCATGAGGACGGCCCCGCACCTCACCCTGCGCGCAGGGAGGTGGCGGCTTGCTCACGCGGAGATCGCTTTGGACGCACCGGAGAAAACGCTCTCCAAGCGAGCAAGCCGCCGCCTCTCCTCGCCCCCCTCGCCACGAGTGACCGGCCCGTGCGCCCCGCCAGCACCGCCTTTCTGGCCCGCACCAGGCACCGGCACCTTTCAACTGGCTCCCTGGTGAAAGTTTGAGGACCGCTGGGGGAGACGGACAGGGGAAGGCAGCCGGGGGCCGGATCCGCTGGACAGGAAGGAAGAGCCAGCAATGCGCCAGTGCCGGCTCGACTTGCCCTCAGCCTTCGCTGGGGCCGGCCCAGGGGCCAGCTCCAAGCACATGAGGCAGGACTTCTGCGGTGAGTGCGGGCACTGCGTTCGAATGCTCCCACGCACCTTATCCAGGCCCCGCTCCACCAGCACCGCTGCGCATCTGCAGAAGGCAAGGCTCCCCTGTCGGGGCAGCGCTAACGAGGCCGCCGAAATAGTCTGCTGGAGTCCGACAAATCTTATGCAGGGAAGCGGTGGCCAGGCAGCACTGGGTGACCTTCTCTCCCTCTCCGCTCTGTCCTTCCCGCCGGCAGAGAGGAAGCAAGGATCCCAATGGGCCTACCTTGCAGGACCGTTGTGGACAGCAGTGTGTAAAATGGTTTGCTCCACACTGCCCCCTCCTGCCGAGTGAACTTTTTCAGCTATGCACAGAGGTGATGGGGCTGGTTGTTTAGCAATGAAGGGAAAGCACTCTGCACATGCTCCAAGGGCCCCTCCTTTCCCTTCATGGTCCAGTCACTGCCGGGCACCAATGCTCCAGGGAACACTGTTTAGGCCTTTATAGAAAGGGGGGAAACAGCACAAAGGCCGGGAACCAGCAAAGGGGGGGGGTGATGGGGGGGAAGAGTGGGTGGCCGAGGGCAAAAAGATGGGAGCCAGGTCTGCACTTCGCCACCCCCCCATTTCTACCTGGCCTTCAGAGGAATGGAGACATTAAATCAATAGATGTTCCAATGCACAGAACAGCTCCTTGCCCCAAAGAGCCTCCAATCTGCCAGTGGACAGCCAGTCAGGCCAGCGGGTGGAAGGGCAGCCCCCCTTGCCTGGCAGGCAGTGCTGGGCTGGGTCAGAGCAAAGGGGGAGGTTCTGTCCCTTGAAACAAACGCATCCCCCGCCAGACTGCCCCTCCTCGCCATCTACCCCAGCTGCAAAGGGCGCCGAGAGGGCGCGCAGAGAGAGAGGAACCGGCTGCCCCACACGGTGCAGGCTGAGAGGGACAGGCTGCCACCATGCAGCCCCCTCACTGGCCCAGCCAGGCCACTGGCCTCAGAGTGGGACGCCCACCAGGGCACGGAGCGCGGGGGCCGGGGGCGGCGGAAAGGGACCGGACAGACCCGCGCGGCTCCTCCGGCGAAGTCTCCGTGCTGGCCGCGCAGCCCGGGCCGCCCCGAGTCTCTGATCGCGCAGGCGGGGACAGATGCGGCGGAGGGGCGCACTCACCCCCGCCAGCCCGCACGTGCCCCGGTCCGATCCCCCTTCCTTGCGACCCCCACGCATCGCAAGCACCCCTCCAGCCAGCCCAGCCCGCGCCTCCTCAGAGCGGAGCTGCCCGCACGCTTCCGCCGCCGCCCGCTGGGCGGAGGGAGGTCGCACGGTCCGGCGAGCGAGGGAGGCGCGCTCTTCGAACGGGCGCGGGCTGCGGGGCGCTGCCCGGGAAGCGCGCACGTGGGAACCCCGCCGGGGGCCGCGATCCGCCCCGCGGGGGGCACTTACTTCTCGCGCGCCTGGCCGTCGGAGGGCACGTGGGGGCCCTTGCCCTTGGCGTGCATGGCTGGCGGTGGGGCGGCGCCCGCGGGGCACCTGCCGCTAGAGGGGCGCGGGCAGCGCGGCCGGGGCACGGGGCCGCCACCGAGAGCAGCGCCGCGGCCGCCCCATCGCGCCGCCCGCGGGAAGAGCCGCTCGGCCGCAGGAGGCGCGACGCCGGGGGATGGCCAGGCGCTGCCTGCGCGGAGGGAAGGCGCCCGCGAGAGCTGCCTCCCCCCGGCGGCTGTTCTGGGGAAGGGGCAGCCTCCCGCCCCCCTCCGCCGCCTGCGCTCTTAAAAGGGCTACGGCACATGGGGGGGTGGCGGGAAAAGAAGGCCGCTGCTTGGCCAGGCAGGGACGGCGCTCCGCACGTGCTCCAAGGAACCCTTCCTCCCGCATCACAACCTGCCACTGCGTGCGGGCCTTTCGGATGCGGAAGCGGCCCCAAGGCCGGGACACCCCCAGCCCGCTGCTGCAGCGCCCCTGCCGGAAAGGCTGAGCCTGCGGGCCCCGGGCGCTGCCCAAGGAGACGCGTGGCGCGGGGAAAGGGGGCGCTTCCAGGTGGGGATGCGGGGAGTTGCAACCCGGCACCCCCGGGCGGGGAGGCCGGCCGCTCCTGCCTGCAGTTCCGCCACTCGCCTGCAGAGGGCTCCCCGGTGCTGCCGCAGGCGCCCCCTCGCCGTCTCCGGCCCTTCGCGCAGCTTTGGCTGCCGGGTCCCCCTTGGAAACCGCCGCGCTTCGCCTTCTCTGCTCCGCGCGCCTCCTGGGCTACACGTCCGGAACGCCCTGCCGTGTGGCCTGCGTGACTGCAAAGCCCGAGTCGCTGGGTCGGAGCAGATGCCTTGCGATTAGGCTCTGCAACGCTAATTAAAGCGCGCCGGTCAAGCTCAGCTCTGCACAACCTGCGCTGTGGGACGAAGGCTGCAGGGATTTCCGAGAACGGCCACTTTGGGGTTCTTACGGAGTCGAGAGAAGTCTTGCAACGGAGTTTGCTCTGGCCTAGCAATTTGGGTTTTGCAAAGCGGGCCTCAGAGTCATTTTGCAGAGCCCGGAAGGAGGTCATTGAAGCTTCAGTGCCTCTTAAACATCCCAAGCAGATGTTGGGTTACAGCCGGGTCTGATGGGGCAATAGTCTAGAACAGCTGGAGCAGCAGCAAGCAGCTCGGCCTGCCAGTTCTGGGCCAGGGGAGATGGGCGCTGTAGTCCAACGAAGCCGGGCAAACCGTGTGAAGGAGGATCTCCCCTCGTCGGGCCAGTACATGGCATGCAAAAGCTGAGGGCAACCAAGCTCCTTGGACAGACTCTGGTCATGCAGAGCTGCCCGTCCGAAGCCCAGAAAAACAACGCACTTGTGCAGTGCTGGAAGTCAAGAAGTCTGTCCGCTCCAGTCCAGGCGATGTTTTGGCCTGACTTCCTACAGTCCAACTTCTCTACTTCTGCTTGGAAGACTCGAGGCCTTGAGCGGGGAAGGAACTGAAGTGGGAGAAGGGGAACTCTGTGCCTGACGGAAAGCTGAAACCAGAATGTCTGTAGAAGCACAAGATTTCCCCATCTGCCCCTTCATATTTTGCCTGAGAAGTTGCCAACATTTTCTGCAGACTTTGCATGTGAGATCACAACCGCAAAATCCAGCTCAGTACAGTTTTTAGAAAACTCCACTTAGTGTGTGGCTCCAGCTCACATTCGCAAAACTGTGAACCACTAAAGGCCACAGCATTTCCTTTTGGAGACGGTAAAAGCGTTTCCCCCACACAGAATGGGTGCTGCTTTGAAAGATGGACTACTGTGACATTCCCCAAGCTGATATGTTGCACTCAAACCCCCATCATCCTTGGCCAGAATGATGAGAGTCACCATTCACCACATTTGCAGGGTGCCAAAGATTGGAGTACCTTCTCTAGTGCAAATATCTGTCTCCGGTTTTCCTCTTCCCTCCACATCCTCTTTCCTTTTGCTTGGTATCTTTTTAGCACTGTTCTGTTTAGGGACTGCCCTTTTTTATTGATCCTGTGTTCCTGTTATTGATTGCAGGAACCCTGTTTGGCTAGAGAGCAGGATCAAAACACTGGGCTATTAAGGGGCATTTTGCTTGTTCTAAATGTCCAATCAGATGTCCTCAAAGAAGCCCAGAAGAGCCACAGAATCCATCATTCACTTCCAAGAGGCAGGAATTCCAGGGTAGGCTTCAGCTCTGCATGGATGCTTAACTTTGCTGTGATTTACTGTGATGAATCCACACAACTAACGTCAGTTTCTCCAAATATTTCCTAACAGCATCCAAATCCCTTCCAGATCAGAGCAAAACTCCTTACTAAAAAAGCAGCAAAAACATTTTCTTAGAACAAAGATATAAAAGAAAACTTGCTTCTCCTTGCTTTTCACAGGAATGGACCAAATGCTTCTGCAGCCTTGTGGAATTCAGTAACAAGGTTTCAAGGAGGCCAGATGGAGGGGATGCGGTGGATGATGGTTTCCCTGGATCTCACCAAGGCCTTTGGCAAAGTGCCCCATGATATCCTGGTGGAGAAACTGAGGAGTTTTGGGATAGACCAAAGCACTGTCCGGTGGATTAGGGCATGGCTGACTGACCGAAGGCAGAGGGTAACCATTAGCAGGGAATCATCGGGATGGCGGCCAGTGACAAGCGGGGTCCCCCAGGGCTCTGTCCCCGGATTGATCCTGTTCAATCCTGTTCATCCTGTTCCCTCTTTTCATTAATGACATGGAAGAAGGGGTGATCAGTCTCTGATCAAATTCTCAGGTGATACTAAAATGGGGCAGTGGCCACAACTGAGGAGCAGGTACTCCGGATCTAGAAGGATCTGGACAGACTATGGAAGTGGGCAGGAGACAACAGGGTGGCATTCAGTGAGGGTAAGGGGCATAGGAGTGGGTGTCATAAGTACAGGTTGGGGGACAAGCGGCTGGAGAGCAGCGCTTGTGAAAGGGACCTCGGGGTGCTGGTCAACTGCAGACTGAACATGAGCCAGCCGTGTGATGCGGTGGCCAAGAGGGCAAACGCCACCCTTGGTTGCATAGCCAGAAGTGTGGCTTCCAGATCGAGAGATATTATGGCCACTCTGTATGACTCTGGTGTGCCAACAACTGGAGTACTGTGCTCAGTTCTTGGCCCCTCATTACAAGAGGGATGTAGCCAGGTTGGAGTCAGTGCAGCGAAGCGCCACAAGGTTGGTGGCCGGTTTGCAGGGGAAGCCGTATGAGGCGAGACTGAGGGAACTGGGCCTCTTCAGCCTGGAGAGGAGGAGACTCCGAGGGGATCTGTTGGCGACATGCAGGTGTGTGAGGGGGTGTCACACGGAGGTGGGCAGAGACCTGTTCTCCCCTGCAGAGGCGGGCAGGACGCGCTTCCACGGAGCCAAGCTCAGGGAACCAAGGTTCAATTGGGATGTCAGGAAGCACTTCCTGATGGTTAGGACCCCCAGGGTGTGGAATGGGCTTCCTTGGAGGTGGTTGAGGCTCCGTCGGTGAGGATGTTCAAGGATAGGCTGGACAAGTATGTGGTGGGCATGTCGGAGGTGGAGCTGGCTGGAGCCAGGGGTCAGACTAGATGGCCTGGGAGACCCCTTCTGACTCTGTTTCTGTTTCTATGTTTTATGCAAGAAAGACAAACACCCTCCACCACTGCATGAGCTAAGCTTCCAGTCCTCAAGAGAGACACGGTTTCTTAACATGGAAGGTTGAGCTGCTAGTCCCTGATAGATGACTTCTCCTCTATGAGTCTGTCTGATTAGAGCCATCAAAGCCAGTTACCACCAACACATCAAGTAGCAGGGAGTTCCACAGATTCACAGGATACCTGGCCCGCCAGTCCCACTGTGCACTCCCACACTTCACATACTGTGGACATGTTGGACTACAACTCCCACTATCCCCAGACAGCCATGCCCTTGTGATGTGTCGGGCTGCGATGCTGCCACAACGACTGGTTGGGGAAGGCCGTTCTAGCCTCTACAGGAAAAATAAAATAAGAATTCCTACAATCCCAGCGATGCCCAAAATGCCGACTTTAAATCAGGACTGTGCAGAGTGCGGGGGGTCATGCACTCGCCCGTGCCCCACTTTAGCAGCCTGCCCTTCCAGTCTGATTTTGGGGCCATTCAGGGGCTTTAGGGGGCTTTGGGCCATTCAGTCCTGGCTGCCTGCTAAACCCTACAGTGCTTGTCTGGTCTCAGGTGATGGGAAGAAAATCGAGGGGATGAGCTGGAGCCACTTGTGAGAACAGCTCCCTCCTGCCTCTCCCTCCGTCCCAAATGGCGTCGGTGATGCGGGGAGCCCCACAGAACTGGGCCCTCCGCCCAGGCAGAGAGCCTCTGATGCCCCTCTCTCAGCCTTCCATTGTGCCCTCAGGTTCCCTCCTGGCCCCGCCCCCTTTGCTGCCAGGTTCCCTCCTTGACCCTCCATTGTGCCTCAGGTTCCCTCCTGGCCCCGCCCCCTTTGCCGCCAGGTTCCTTCCTTGACCCTCCATTGTGCCTCAGGTTCCCTCCTGGCCCCGCCCCCTTTGCCGCCAGGTTCCCTCCTGGCCCCACCCCCTTTGCCACCAGGTTCCATCCTTGACCCTCCATTGTGCCTCAAGTTCCCTCCTGGCCCCGCCCCCTTTGCCGCCAGGTTCCCTCCTTGACCCTCCATTGTGCCTCAGGTTCCCTCCTGGCCCCCCCCCCTTTGCCGCCAGGTTCCCTCCTGGCCCCACCCCCTTTGCCACCAGGTTCCATCCCTGACCCTCCATTGTGCCCCAGGTTCCAGCCTGGCCCAGTTCTGCCTCCTGCCTTCTCTCTCGAGATGGCCGGCCCCTCCCTGTCCCTTGGTTGTGGGGGCTGGACGCCCACGGTTAGCTAATTCTGTTTCCCTTTCCTGGCAGCATTCAAGCCCCTGAAAGCAAAAGCGAGCTGCTGGCCTTCCCCACGTGCGGCCCCTTCCCCCATTTCCTCCCTGACTGTGACAAAGAGGGAACTGCAAGTTCCCACTTCCCCCAAGTGCCAAAGCCATGCCAGCCTCCCCAGGCAGAAGACAGGCCTGCTGAGCGCCGTGGAGGACGCCAGACCCGAGGTAGGGCGGCTGGTGCCGGGCCGGCTGGTGGGGGGGCAGCCCAAGCAGCTCAGTGTGGACTAGCAGCCAGCCCTGGGGGGGTCAGGGGGGTGCCCGGGACGAAGCCCTCCATCCAGAAGGAGTGGGAGGGAGTGGTGGGGATTTGTGGTTGTGTGAGTGTGTCGAGCAGTGGGGCGGGTTGAGGGGATACAGCACCAGCTCACCCACGAAAGAAAAGTCCTCTCTTTTGTGTGTCCCCCCCCCGCCCCCAATTTCATATCCCAAATTGACAACAGTATTTTTGGATCGGCCAATGGGCAGGTAGAGAAGAAACCAACATTGTGCTCTCCCTCGGAGGTGGACGCCAACTCCCACCATCCCCTCCCTCACCCTCATTTGGCCAGACTTCCACTCAAGTGCAACAAAGACCCCCCCCCCTCACTTGGAGATGTTTTAGGGGCTCCTTTCCAGAATTCTGGCTCTGACATCCCAGCTTAGCAGCGGGATGGTGGCAGAGACCGCTTCAGGAAGGAAAGACGTGCAGAGAAGCGTCGGGATGTGGGAACAAGGAAGCTCCGCCACAGCTGCGTGGGTGGATTCCCAGGCGGGTGCAACGGGGGTTCACGGGGCCGGACGGATGCAGGGCGGGCAGCCTCCGACTTCTGTGTCCCTAGCCAGGGGTGCAGGATCTCCCACCCCCTCTGGCCCCACCCCCTGGCCCTGAACCCTCAGCCATTGGGCTGTCTTTGGGGTGCTTTCCCCATTTGTGCATCCCACTTCCGCTCCGGGGAGATAAAGTGCCCCATGCACGGAGGCTGCACCAGTGCCGGAGACGGGCAGGGCCAGCGCCCCATGCCGGACCAGGCCCACGCCTCTCTGGGGCTCTTGCCAAGTGCCTTCCAGGAGGAGATACTCCTGAGAGGGCTGCTGCCTCCTCCTGCCCCCCCGCGCCAGGCTGCCCTGTACTAAAACTAAACAGCGCTTGGCGAGAGGGTAAGACGAGGGTACAAGGGCCACTGGTGAGAACAGACTCGCCCGTATTCACACAGGATGTCGGGGCTTCTGGCCGCTCTGCTCCTTCTGCACGCCGGCTGCCTGGTGGACGGCGCGTGCTCCCCGTTCCAGGCGGGCAACAGAAGCGCCCTCTCGGGCCACGAGGTGCTCAGCTTGCTGCAGTCCGAGCAGCCGTGCCTGAACTTCAGCGGCAGCGAGGTCCACCTGCCCGGCAACGCCAGTGTGGGGGCCCACGTGAAGGAGCTGGACCTGTCCGACACCATGCTCCGCAGCCTGCCGCCACGGCTCCTGGCCAACGCCGTGGCGCTGCAGTGGCTCAGCCTCGCGGGCAATGCCCTGAAGGAGCTCCCGCCGCAGATCTTCAAGAACACGCCCCGCCTGACCAGCCTGCAGCTGCCGAGGACCCCGCTCTCCTTGCTGCCCACCTTGGGGCACTGCCTGGGGACGCTCACCGTGGACTGTGCGTGCGGCGTGGCTGGCAGCATTAGGCACTACTGCCAGAACTGCTCGCTGGAGACTGCGTGCCGTTGCGCTTCCCCCGGCGGCCTCCTCAACGCCACAGACTTCTTTGCCCGGCGCTGCCGTGGCCCGCCGCCGGGCGTTTATGCCGCCGCCGTGCTCCCCGTGGTGGCTTTGCTCCTGGTCGCCGGCCTGGCCTACTTCCTGATCCAGAAGAGGCGGAAGGCCACCTTTGCCCAGGATAAGCGGACCTCCCCGGGCTCCGAAGGGGCACACGGCCAGCCCCGGTACATCCAGCATGCCAGCCCGCAGGGCGATGCGGCCAGGGGGGCCGCAGGGGACACCAGCGACTACGCCAACATCTTCCTGGAACAGCCCCAGGGCGCCAGAGTGAGGCACGGCGGACAGCACAGGTAAGTGGCTGGTGGGGCCGCGGGACCGGAGAAGGTGCAGGGCCACGGCCGGCGCTCCCACCCCCTTGCGCCTCAGTCCCGGAGCCCGGTGGCCCCGGTGTGCGGGGCAAGTTCGGCTCTGGAGAGACGCTCGAGACCACATTCCCTCAGTGGGCGGGCTCAAGGCAAAGGCCAGGGGCTGAATACCAGGGAGCTGGAAGTCGTCTCATCGGCAGCCAGGCAGGTGGGGGGAGTGCATTGAGCCACCCCTGATCCTTGCTGTCCAGCATTTTCTGTTGCTTATGCGCAATCTTGGAAAACACCACACTGAAGGGGCTTGACGTGGCCGCATGTGACACGAGAAGACCACATTTTGCAGCGCTCTGTACCAAGGCGATGACGACACAAGAGGAAGAACAGTGCGCACCCCCTCGTGCATCTGTTCCGTTTTGGAGCGCCGGGTGCTGCCCAGGGCTCTTCTGCGAGGGGAGCCTTCGCAGTTTGACCCACGCTGTGAGATGCCCATTTCAGTGGGAGCCCTGGGAAAGGTCAAGATCTGAATTACCCAGAGCACCCGGTTCACAGCGACCATGGCCACGAGTTCACTCTTGTGCTCCGCAAACCGATCGAGATGGTTCTAGCAACGGGCAGCCTGCAGCTGTGCCTCCAGGTGTTTTGGGCTGCAACTCCTGGCTTTTGGCCATGCCAGCAGGGGCCTCTGGAAGCTCAGGTCCCAAACATCTACGCTCTCCCTGTAGAACCGGGACGGTGGCCTCCCTTATTTCCTCCTTCCCCCGCGGAACAATCGCCTTCCAAAGAAGCGGTCCACCGAAAGCTGAACTGCTGAGTCACCATAATGAGGGGGCAGATGGAGCACAAGCTGATGCCTAGGCCCGCCAGGGCAGCCCCACAACAGGGAGTCACTGGAGTGCCCTTTGGGGAAGTGCACCTTGAATTGGGGCAGAGCTGCTTTTTCGCCCGTTCTGCCTTGTGGGTCCCTTTCTCGCATCCGGTCTCAGTTCCACTCCTGTGCCTCCTGTTAGGTGTTCCCTTACCCCAGCAGGGAGCTGAGCTGAATCATCCCGGAGAAGCTTTTCCTTTCTAGAATTCTCTAGTTTAGACACCACTGCAGCGTGATGAAAGGTGGCCCTCAAGGCCGCTAAGGTGGAAGCCACATTAAAACTCACATCTTCCCTGTAACACCAATTTCAGAATGAATCCCCAAGCAGAGCGTGTAGGAGGCAGGTCTGTGGCAACTCGCCAGGACTCCAGAGGCTGAGACAAGATCTTGTGGTTTGCATGTACGAATTTCACAAGTGCTCAGCCAGAGAGCTGTCCCCATGACTCCCTTTTGCAGCTCGCTCTCTTAGCTAATTTCCTCTTGGGCAATCTCTCTCGTTAGGTTGAGCTGACAGGCAAGGAAAGGGAAAGGTAAATTCCCCAGGCGCTCGTTCTGGGCAGAGGCTTTCTGGGGAGAAACGGAGCCATTTCCGTGCAGTTTGAATGGGCCCAGTGGCCACCTCACACCCCAGGCCACCCCTCTGGCACATTGGTGCCCCCATGCATATCGCTGCCAGAAAAGCACCTCTGGCAAGTGAAATCCTGAACAATGTTCCAGTCCTCAAGGCCTGACTTGTGCTGCTATTCAGGTTAACAAACCTCTTATGAAAGCTTACACGTTTATGATCTTAAGAACTGCACGGGGGTGGGGGGGACAGGAACAACTGAAATGGCCTTTCAAGCAGGTTTGTGGAGGGGCTTGTTCCCCATCTCTCTGGGATGACCTTGGGTGCTCCACTCCAGGCCCCCAGCTCAGACAGGCTGGCAGAGACGGTTGCGGAAGACAAGCAGGAGAACTGCGGTTTTGGGAAGAGTGCTCAGCGCTGGTGGTGCTTAGCAGAAAGGCAGCTGCTTTTGTGACGGTTGTGGCGGGGCCGCATCCAGAACTGAGTGGGGCGGAAAGGAAGGAAGGCCCCCGGGGGGCAGTGCCACCCACCCCTAGAGCCGCCCAAGGCAGCGGTGGTGCCGTGCTGGCAGCCGCCTGCCCTGGATCCCGGTCTAGCTGGCTTTGGTGCAGACGAGGCTGCATTGGCGTGTGAGTGACGGGCTTTTGCTGTGTTGCCCTCAGCTGCCCCCCCGGCCCCCTGGAAGGAGAGCAGCCGGTCTATGCCAACACGCAGGACCTGTACTACAACTACTGCGGGCCGGTCGGCAACAGCCCAGAAGCCCTGGAGGAGGAGCTGTACATCATTCCGGATAAGTGAGGTCCGTGAACACGGCCCCACTGCGCCCAGCCCGCAGAGGGCCTCCCAGCCAGATGCACCCCCTGTACTGACGTGTGGCACCTGATCCGGAGATGGCGCACAGCACAGAATTTGGAGGACTCCCGCTGCGCAGGACCGAGATGCCCAGGACTTAGACCCCCACTGCCTCCTTCCTAAACTTATTGCAATCCAGGCATTAAATCATTTGGGGGTGAACTTGGCCCCTGACACCCCCAAATGTACCTTGCAGTCTGATGGTAGCGGCCCCAGGGAGGCCCGCAGGGTGCTGTGTGGGTGTTTGGGTGTGAGTGCGAGAGAGCCGGGGGAGGAGCTGGATGGGGTTGGACCGCAGCACAGACGAGCGAGGTGTTGAAGTGTGCGTCTCCGCATGGTCAGGACACAGCTACCCTACACAAACCACACTTCACAGTCCAACAACAAACCTGAGTGGAACTGGAGGAAGTGAAGTTTCCCAGCAACAGAGCACCGTCTTGCTCCCCGTTGCAAAGCCTAGCGGGGGGAAGGCAGGGGGCTCGGCTTCGAAGGGGCAAAGCAGACCCACCCCCTGTTGCTCAAACAGGTTGGCAGATCCCGACCTGCCTGGATTTCGGGGCTTTTGCAGGGGGCAGGGCTATGGACTGCATAACATTTGTTTGCAGTAACCAGCACCTCCGCTTGGCCGCGTGAAAAATGCAGCCGTATCTCCAGACTTAATTGCCCCGCTGAGCCACGACCCAGCCCTTGAGGGGCAGGACGGGAGCTGACTCCCAGAGGCCCATGACTCTGGGTGAGGCCTCCAGCCCGGCACCCTTTACGGCAGGGGAGCACCCTTGGGGGTGAAGGAGGAGGCAGATGGTGAGGACCTGAGCTGCGAACCCCTTGCAGCTGGAGGCGCAAGAGCTGCGGCGCAGGCCCCAGCACCCGCTTGGCACGCTCGGATTTGCCCATTTTCACTCTTCACTCACCTGTTTCTCAAAGTCCCTCATCTCCCCCGCCCGCCATGGAGCAACCAGGGTTCCCAGGGCAGCTGATGGTTCATACACCAGTCTTGTAAGGCGGGCCCGTGTTCTTTTCTCCCCATGGCAAAGGGGCCAAGAGAGAGGGAGGGAGGGAGAGGAATGCAGGTGCCGGGTGGGTGGCTCCTTGCCTTTGAAGCACAGTGCCTCATAGCAAAAGCCCCCTCGTTGCAAAGCAGCTGATGTCTTGCAAGGCCCTGGTCGAGCAGCCCAGCTTTTGCAAAGAGTTTGTGGAAAGCCCATATTTTGCTTTTGACATGCCACCCGGCTTCCAAGTTGTGGGGAAGGGGTGTATGGGGAGGGGCCTTTGCCAGGGACAGGGACGCAAAGCCGCATTTTGGCAACACGCCATGGAAGCCGACGGCACCTGAAACTTGGCGAGGGTGTGTGGGCAGACGCCCTGGCCCCTCGGGCAGTGGAGACGCAACGCCGTGCTTGACCCAGCCGCCTTCGTCTGTCTCCTCTGAGGAGTTGCGCCACAGCCCCTGGTGTGGCCTGACCAGAAATTCTGGCAGGGAGCGGCTGCCCTGCGGCTTGGGAAGGGGCCCAAGAGCACCGAGTTGCTGAGCTGTAAATCCACGCAACTGGGCATGGATTTGATCAAAAGCATACAGGGCCCCAGACCCAGAAGGAGATGGGATCCCGGGTCGTTTGCTGAGCCAGCTGGTCCGAGGCTGGGTTCAGAAGCACGATAAACCATGTTCCAACAGCAACCCACATTTCAGCATATCACGGATGCCTGAAGCCAGCGCCCCCCAAATGTTATCAACACCCGGCTAACGAGCTGGGTGCTCGCAGGATTCCAGCCGTGCTCAACTTTACAGCAAAATGCAATAGCTCGAGAAGGAATCCGGGGTCTTTGTGTCCAGAAAGATGGAGGATCAAAGCTCTGCCTCGGAATGGGAATGTGGTTGTGTGAGAAGGCCTCTGTGGGCACCCAGGAAGGGAGGGCCAGACAGTCTGTGGGGCTCCGTTGTGCCTGCGGCTGTTATTCTGAGCTTTCTCGGAGCTGCCGGTGGAGCTCCAGGCAGGGGGACCTCCTTTGGGTGCAGAGTTAAGCACCACGGAGAGCTCAGAAGAAAGCCCCAGAGGTGACGGAGGCGCCAACCTCCTCCGGATGGGGGAAACGTGCGAATCAGGCTCCAGTTCTAGGCATGTTTACACGGGAGCAAACCCCCTGAACATGCCAGGACTTCATTCTGAGTAGCAACACAAAGGATTGTGCCAAAATTCGGAAATTTTGCCAAATGTTGCAAATTTTGCCATTCGGGCTCCAGGCACAGCAGGGAGTGTGTGAGAGGGCGTGTGCATTTTATCGGCAGCCCTGCTTTCTGCCCTTGAGCCACTGGATGTCCGAATTATCACAGGCACCCCCAAAACAGGAAAGAGCTCCGAAAGCTAGGAATATCCACGTCTCCAAAAGGTTCACTGATGGTTTGCCGCGATCGCTGGGGGATTCTGGGCCCAGCAGCACTGTGGAAAGGGACACCCGTGTGTGATATGGCACAAAGTGCCTGCCGGCCAGCCCAGCTCCACGGAGGTGCAGCCTCACAGCACGGCCAGGTCTTTGCAGCTGGGCACACCTGGCGCTCAGCAGCCAAGCGCACCAGGCCTGATTTGGAACAGCATCGAGCAGGAACTGCCTCCACCAGTGGCCGCAAAAGCACAAGGGGCACCAGCGGGCAGCAGGCGGCGGGGTTGCCGGAGGCCGAATTCCTGGCTGACCCCAAGTATGAGAGGCATCTGGGCACGCCCTTCCTCCTCCTCGAAACCACAAGCAGTTCCTAGAAACCTGGTCTGACCTCGTGCGCAGATCCTTCCGGCCATCCCCACCCGGCCAAGCCCATCATTGCCGGGGGGGGGGGGTGAGAGAGCACGGAGTGCCTTTCCCAGCCAGCCAGCATCCGGGGTGGAGGGGAGCACAGCAAGGTGGAGCCCCGAGGGGCAGCTTCGGAGGGGGCGCTGGGGCCACAAAGGAAGGCGCAAGGGCAGGGTGGCTCTGGGCCGAGGCTCGCCTCTCGGGGCACCGCAGACCCATAGGCTGCCCAGGCGGGGGACCATCCCTGTGTGAAGCAAGGCGATGCTTGGGACACCCCCAGTCCTGTGCGCCCAGGAGCAGCCACTGCAGCGCTGCAGGGTGCCCCGTGAAGCGTCTGTGCCCCCCCACGGCATCCCCAGGAGGGTCAGAAGCCAGGCTTTTGGTCTATCACACCCGGCAGTGCTGACTCCGGCAGGCAGCAGGGGCTGGCCATGTTCCAGGCAGCCTTCCCAGCCCTGCCGTAATGATCCCCCACACCTTTCCCTAACAATCAAAAGCAAGGTTCTAGTCCTCATGGTTCTGAACAAAGGGCTGATCTAAATAGGAACACTGGAGCTGCCTCATCCGGAGGCGGGGGTTGTGTCAATCTTGCCCAGTCCTGCCAAATAGCCTGGGAAGCCCAGCAGGGCCTCCGACAAGAGGGGGTGTCCTTGGAGCCCCTCCTGGAAAGCAAACTTGAAAAAAGACGTCTTTGTCTGGATGCTGTGGTTGGGCTGCTCATCTCTCCACTGCTTACTCGCTAGAGATTGTGTTGCGTTACGGCTCTTCTGCGGAGGAGGCCCAGTGGCCGCTCTGGAAAATATGGCGAAGAACCCATGTGGAAACCATGCTCCATTTTCACTTTTCTGCCACAGCCGTGTGAGGTGAAGACAGTAGAACACGGGGAAGCAACTCCTGCAAAGAGGAAACAGAAACCAGAGGCAAACCCTCGAACCATATCTCGTTTTTAATGGACTGGGTGACCTACATGTGCATGTGCAACACAATCCCAATCGTACAACCATTTATACATTTCCAAATAAAATGCTGCTCAGGCAGAAAACCGGTCTGCAGGGTCCCTGGAACCTGCAAGCTGGATTCTTAGAAATCTCGGGTCATTTGACTCTGCTGCAGATTTCACTGAGATTCTGAAACCCCCCTTTGCCACAGCGGCTTGGAATGATGGTGCAGGTTGCCCTCTCTGGCTGCCCTCTTGCGCCGCTCCGTCTGTGTGAAAAGGGCGGTGGCCCCTGCTTCCAGAGAGAGTCTTTTCCTGGAAGACTGAAAGACCGTCTGCCTGGAGTTTTGTGCACCAGTTGCCCCCAGCTGGACTCCACTTGGGGTCTCTTGGGGTGCCCACCTCCCCTCTGGCAGCCGGGCCCCCTGAATGGGAGCCCCCAGGCAAGCCTCTGGAGCCCAGGGGCATGCCTGACCTGAATCCGTGTGGGGACAAAGGGCACTCCGGTCCATCCACCCGTCCAAAGAGGGTGTGCTGAAGAAGACCCTGGAAGTCCTTGGTGGGTTGGGGGTGCCTGCACCCCCAAAAGCGTGTCTCCCAGGCTGCACAAGCACCTTCCTTGCAGGGACCCCAGCTGTCTTTCCTGGAAAGGGCACCCCCGTTTTTTTCATAAGCCCTCACCTCAAGCCAAACCTCATTATTCACAAAACAAAATAGGGGAGCTTTTTCCCTGAGGGCCAGGGGATCTGAGAAAACCTGTTTGCCAGCCGGGTTTGGGGAAATCACGGTCGGTCGGGTTCTCTGACTGGAAGTTTTCTGACCTCCCTGGTTCAGCTCCTAAGGTGCTGAAGGAAGCTGGGTGGGGAGAGACAGACCTTGATTCCAGGAAAAGACACAGGTGGCAGTTTGAAGATGCTCCTTGGTCTCTGAGTCAGCGGGAAAGCCAGCTGGGGAGATGAGCTGGAAGGGACAGGTGATCTGTGCCAACATCCATTGACCGAGCGACGGATGCCCCCAGCAAGGGCCTAGTCCATATGGGACAGCGAGTTTTGCTGCCCCTGGCAGACCAGGCCGCAGGGTGGGGGCCTCATGGAAGCAGCCCACCGGGAGGAACACCCAGGGCTGCGGGAAAAGGTTCAGCCAGCGAGCACAGCGCTATACTTGGCCTCAGAGCTGCGCTGGGGGAGATGCATGCAGCCCGAAGGACGAGCCTGATTTTGCGGAACTCAGACCTGGCCTTGGGAAGACCAAAATGCTTTACATGGAACGGGAACCGAAATGTATTGCATTTCACCGCTGCATCCAGGAAATGAGGCAGTCCTTGCTGCTGGCAGGGGGAGGTTCGGGGGCCAGAAATGCAACAGGAGTTCCCAAAGAGCAAGGCGTTTAAATCCAAGTCTCCTCTTAGCAGGGACTTGAGTTTAGAAGCTGCATGGAGAATGGAGAGGGGCGCAGGAGCCTGGAAGCTCCCCAAAGTTTGGTGGGTGGGAAGAGGTGTGAACTCGCCAGCGGGTCACCGAAAGCCAGATTCACGCCTGGAGCTGATGTTCCCATGGCTCCGTGCCCGAGTCTACGCTGCATTTTTGTTGAGTTTCCTCATTCAGTTGATAGCAAAGACTTTGTTTCGAAGAAGGAATTCAGAGGAGGAGAAAAGGTTTGGCTAAAATCCCACGGCTAGGCTGGGATCCTTGCAGTTACCTTCCCGAAGGGGGAGCTGCAGCTGCCCGAGAAGGATCTGCTCTTCCCACCTTTGTTGGCAGAGCCCCCGCCCCCCCCTCAAAAAAAACCCTTTTAAGAAAGCAGGAATATGCTGGGCCCTAGCCCCTTCCACTGATGAGGTCTGCCTGTGAGAAAATATTGGTGAATTCCCGGATCTGTGGAAAATTCCACTGAAATTGTTCCCCTGGTTTCTTCGCCCACACACAGGGGGAAAACTGGGGAGGCCACGTGTCCGTGGCTTCCTTTCTGCTACCCTGTCCTGACCCGCTCCCCTCCAGAAGTCGAAAAGAGTTCGGGGAGGTAACGGGGAGGGGGGGCAGGCGGAGGGGCGGGTGCGTGAAGGGGAAATATGGCTTCCCGGACCAGTTTGCAAGGGGGAGGGCGAGGCAGCATGGCTGGGGGCTGCAGTGCTGGGCCCCGTTTCGAGGCCCCACCGGTGGGACCCCCTGTCCAGGTGCCCGCAGCTTAGCTTGCCCCTCTCCCTGCCTCGCGGGGCAGCGGATGGAACACGCGATCCCTCTAGAAGGACCTCGAAGATGGCTACAAAGAGGAAGACCATGGTCTCTTCTCGCTGATACCACAGCGCAGGGTGCAGAACTATCAGCTCAGATTCAGGCTGGATATCAGGAAAAGCTTCCTCATGGTCAGAGCGATAGGACAGTGGGACCAGCTGCCTGGAGAGGTGGGGGGCTCCCCCACACTGGAGGCATCCAGAAAGAAACTGGGCAGCCCTCTGAGTGGGTTAGTGTAAACGCATGTCCTGCAACAGCAGGGGGTGGACCCCCTGGCCCCTTCCAACTCTTCTATTCTGTGATTTTATGACCCTATGGTCCAGGCATTGGACCCCCATGGTGGGGGGGGGAATGGGGGACAGCAGAGCTCCCGGGGGACCACCTGGAGTCTCCAAAGACCCCTCCTCTCTGCTCCTTCCTGGATGATACACCTGCGGAGGCAACCTGTGAAAGCCACGGCGGCCGAGGGCTGAGAGGGAGCAGCCAGAAGCAGGAAGGGGCCCTGTGCCCCCACCCGGCCTCACTTGCCAGCCCCCTCCCAGCTTGGCCCTGCACCCTCAGCCTGCCTGGGGTGCTTCGGCAGCGGTTCGTTCTCAGTGGAATCTGAACTCCCCCTGAATTTTCCGCCAGAAGCCTCAGCTGTGCTCAGAAAGGCGGGGCAGAAAGACCTGCCCGGATCCAGGAGGGAGCATGAGCTGTCCTGTGCTTGTCACTGAGCACAGATGTCGTGTTTCCTTGGCATGGATAGCGAAAGCCACAGGCAGGGAAAGTGCTTTGCCACGGGGAGGGCGGATAAAGCCGTGGAAGTGCCTTGACTCAGCCCGGAAACTTCTCCCCGTCCCTCCGAGAGTCCAGAGTGCAGCTCGCTTCTCCTGGGCACGGACCGGGCCCAGCTGCCCCAGAGTGGCTTCCCCGGATGATGATCGCTTCAAGTCCAAGGACGGCGGCCTGCGATTCCAAGGACGGCAACGAGCCAAAGGTTTCGGAAAAACTTTCTCCCTCGTTCTCTTTCTCTCTGGGTGCTTCCCCTGTGCGGGCTCTCTTGCACAACCGGCTTCAGTTAGAGGACTGTCCTCTATAAAACAGGGCATCAGGCCACTCGGCTTATGACGTGTTGTTTTGAAACCAGACGGCTCTTGCTTGTTTTGGCAAAACCTTCAGACAAGACTGTCCCTCACTGACCCACTCCCCCAAACCCCAGAGGAATGTCTCCTCTAAAGTAGGACACCCTCGTCATGCTCAATCGGAACTAGATTCAGGCAGCCCGTCAAAGAGAGGAGGGTCCCCCAGTAAGCAGGGCAAGTTTGGAAACAGAATTGGGTTTTGCAAAGGCATGAATGGTATAATGAAATATGCAATATGGTAATTAGTGATAAACTGACGACAGAAATAAAAATTAAAAGAGGGTTAATGAAAGCAAATAAATATAGTGAAATTTGGGATGATTTTGTAAAAGCAGTACTGATAGAAGGCAAAGGCTGTAAATCCAATCAAGATTATATGAATTTCTGGAGGGGATATGGATATAATTGAAGTATATTATATATCATTAATTGTTTTAGTGTGTGAATGGTGGTGGCATTGGTCTCCGGGGTGGTGGGGGCACTTTATCATTTACCTTTTTATGTTCTTGTTACTTTATGTAATCATTATTGTACTGTATTTATGGGTATTTTTCTGTGTAAAAGAATAAATAAATGGGGCGAGTAGGGCACCTGCCCACCTCCTTTATCCACGGACAGTGCATTGAAGAGAGACACCTTCAAACAGGATCGGACTGGCAGGTGCCTCTTTGGACTGTCCCTCTGAGCACGAGGGGGACCTGCAGGGAGACTCCCCGGGGTGGATCTCTGGGGAATAAGCGACTCGGACCCAGGCCAGGATTTTGTCCAAGCTTTTTATTGTCCTTTTCATGTTCCCCCCAACCCCACGTGCAGCTTCTCATATAAATAATGCCATTCAATAACACAACCAAAATGCCCATCAACAGCAACAAGAATAATTTAACAATAAATAAAGACAAGAGGTTAATAAAAGCCATTCCGAGTACAGAAGAGAGCTGCCTCTTCAGCTCTCAGCAAGCAATATCCCCCAAGATCTCATTTTTAATGCACATCAAAAGGCCCCCTTTCATTAATGATAAACAATTAATTAATAAGTAATGACGATTAATTATAGAGGCAATTATTATTAGTATTGTTCCTTCTGGTTCATAAAGTGCTTAAAACTTGCAAGTCAAGGCGGTGTGGGACTTAAGAAAGACACAAAGTCGCCCCCCCACACCCAAAACAGTGACGTAGTCGTGATAAAAACGCAAACCAGCAAAGGGCCTTTTTGTTTCTTCCTCATCTGACATTTCAGCTTTGGAGTGTTGTGTGGGAGCACCAAGATTTACGGGGCAAAGGCCAAGAACAGCAAAGAAGGAGAGCAAACTTCAAGCCCCCCTCCAAATCGGAAAACACCCCTGACATCTTGCCTGTAACTCCCCCAGTGACTTTGCTCTGAGGAGAGCACAAGAATGAGTCTCGCACATTTTTGTGCAACAGACCCAGGTGTGCAAGGCTAAGTCCGCACCCCCACAGAGAATTCCCGGTGCTTTGCTCATCCGTGCTCGTGGCCCACATCCCAGCCCATCAGGGAACCTCCGCTTGCACAGCTGAACAGTCTCCACCGGGAGGCCACGGGGTGCGTGAGAGAGGGCGGACCCCCGTTTGCCTCACCTTCCCTCCCCCTCCTTGGGTGGGAGCCGCCTTTGCAGCGCTCCTGAGTCTGATCCGACTTGGCTTGCTCGGCAGCGGCCGCTCAAGACGAGCCCCGGAGCGCGGCGGTGGCTGGTCGTGGGGGACGTGATCCTCGATGGGTTGGGACGACCTGCAGGGGAAGTGGGCCCCGTCTTCACCCGAGCGCTGCCCAAAGGGCCTCGAGTGGCGGCTGTGGGGCGTCACGCGCAGTGGCAGCGGGTGACGATCATGTCCTCGAAGAGCTGGGTGGCCACGCCCCCGTCGCTGCTGTAGTGCATAAGCACCATGGGCTCATAGGCGGCGGGGACGCAGCAGGGGGCCGGGGTCTCCCCGGAGAGGCTGTGCAGCCGGGCCTTGATCTGGGCGTGCATGCTGGCCGGCTTGTAGTTGTGGGGGCAGGAGCCCTCGCAGAAGCGCATGGAGTAGCTCCGGGGAGCCACCACCCAGTCGGCCCAGCCGATGGCCTCGAAGGAGACCTTCAGCGAGCGCATGCAGCACTTCCCGTCGCCCTTCGCACACTCCTCCTGCTCCAGCTGCCTCGCCCGCCTCCTCCGCCCCTGCTCCCGCGTCACCAGCAGCAGCGGCAGCGCCGCTGTCCCCTCCGGCCAGGGGCCCACGTCCGGCGAGAAGGTCAGCCCCAGCCGGAGGCCGGGCTCGGGGCCCGCGAGCCACCGCTCCACCGCGCCCTGGAGGCTGAGGGTCTGTGAGGCCACCGAGATCTCCTGGGAGGAGAGCAGCTCCGGAGCTGCACCGCCCAGCTGGTAGACGTGGACGCGCACCGGCCATGTGAAGTTGGCCTGGGACACGCCTGGGAGGCCGAGCAGTTGCTTGAACATGGCCAGCTCGGCCCGGAGGACGTGGGGGCCGTGGGGAAGCGACGCTGTCCTGGAGAGCTCCAGGCTGTACAGGGGCCCGGTGCTGGCTGGCAGGCCTGCAGGGGCTTCACCCGCAGGCATCCGTGTCACTGTCCAGCGAGAGAGAGAGAGAGAGAGAGAGAGAGAGAGAGAGAGAGAGAGAGAGATGAGGCCGGCACCTGGGCAGCTCTGACCTTGGGTGCCTGGCCCAGAGGCCCCACACCTGCTTTCCCTGCTGCACATGAACTCCCATGACCTGGAGGAGGCGGCACACGGACACCACCAGCCGGCAAGGCTTCACGCCTCCCCGGCCAGAGCTGGGCTTTCCTGCTGCTTCCACAGGCCAAGATTCATACTGCATTTCGTTGTATTATTGTATTATTTCTCGTAGCAGGATGAGGGTGTTGCTCTGTTGAAGTAACAGGCTACCGACAGTACTTTGTTTTGAAAGGCTACTTGAAAAACAAACGTTCTTCGTGTTTGAAGTGTTGCCTAAAAATTCCTTCATAAACCGTGTTGGCCAGGGGAGTAGGAAGGACAGATCGGAAGCCAGCTGGGGCAACCCGAAATGCTCAGCCCAGACGGGGTGCCTGAGGTGGGACATGCCCTCGGAGGTCTTCCCCCAAAAGGAGGGCATCCCAAAGGCACTCCGGATGCTTTGTGCCAGAGACGGGATGGCTGGTGTGCTGCTTTAAACGCCGGGGCTCCTTAAGAGCAGCTTTGAGATGCAGGAACGTCTCTCCCTGCAGCCCCCAGGCTGGCCCCCTCCCTTCCCACAGTGGCCGTTCTTGCCTCCCTCCCCCACCCCCCGGAAATGGGGCCGAGCCAGGTTGGCGCCTGTGGTGCTCACATGAGCCTCTGCTGAGCCCGGCAGCTCGCTTTTCAAGAACTGGCTCGGGCTGCACTTGCGCCAGCCAGGGAGGGCTGCTCAGACGTTTCGGACTCCCGACCGTTGGCGGTGCCTCCTGAGCTGATGGGAGCTGCCGGAGGGCGCCACGTTGGGGAAGGCGGCACCCGGCGCGCACAGGAAGCCGCCAAGCCATAGCCCAAGCACTGAACCCCGTGGGCCTTCCGCACTTTCCATCCAGGTTCACCTCTTGTAGCCTGTAATGCTTTTTACGCAGCTGGGCAAGTTTTTCAGCATTGCATTGCTGATATTGTGACGGCGTCAAAACTGTTACGCGGTCCAAATGCCCAGAGACGTTTGCGGGACAAGACTCTTCCCAAGCAAATGTGTATGAAAAGTGATGACTTACATTTTGGGGTCAGGCGGTGAACGGCGGTGGCGGCGGGCCGCCGAGTCTGGTTCCCGCGGAGCTGCGCCAGCGCCTCCCGGTACAGCCGCTGCGCCTTTTTGACCACGTCTTGGCCCGGTGCTTCCAAGAGGGTCGGCGGTCCCTGCAGGCCCAGCCGCGCCAGGATGCCCTGCTTGACCGCCTCGATCTGGGCCGCCTGCTGTGCCCCCTGTGGCCGGAGCTCCCCGCCGGAGAGGAGGAGCAGAAGCAGTGCACCGGCAGCCAGACACCTGCCACCCCGTTGCGAGCACCTGGGCATTGCGCAGAAGCCGGTGTGCCTGGCAGACCCTTTCCTTGCCAACCGCCCTGGCTGTATTTCCCGAGAAAGCAAGGAGTTCCCCGCTTTGCCCTCGGTTTTCCCTTTTTGCTTGGCTTGTGCTCCGGGAGTGACACAGACCAGAGCCAGGCTTTATAACCGAGGCGAGCTCTGCCTGACTCACCAGAGCCCTTGCGTCACGCAGCCCAGGAGTAAACACAGGGGAGAGGGCAGAATCCAACAAACTCCGAGCCTGGCTCTTTACGGCCGCACGCGTGTGTGTTTGCGGCTACGGATAGGGGTCCCCGTAATGATAAGAGGATGCTTTCCTCCCGCAGGGTCTCGTTTTTGTTTTCGAGGAGAAGAGTTTGGCCACAGGGGTCTCCACCTGGTTCGCAGGGTTTGGTGCCTGAAGCGAGGGATGGACCAGGGCTGTAGCGGTCGCGTTGTCCCACCTGGCCAAAGGGTGGCCCCGAATGCAGTTGCTGGGAACAAAGGCGAATTCTGGGTTGAGAATAACTAGGAAAGGAAGTGAAAATAAAACTGCTCAGATCGTGTTCCCTTAAACAAATTTATGGTGCAACCACACTGGGAAGACGATCTGCCCTTCCAGTCACTGTACCTGAACAGGACTTCGGAAAAGTGCGAAGAAGGGGAGGAACAGGCTCCGGAGGCTGAAGCAAGGGTTCTGCCAGGAACCGTGGCAGCAGTGAAAGTGTTTAGCTTAGGAAAATGCGAGGCAGGAGAGGCAAGAGGAATGTTATGCCGCGTGGGGAAGGCAGAGAGAGAGACCTTCCTCTCCCTCCCCCAGAATACTGGACTCCAAAGGGGTCCCCCACGGAACTGGCCTGGAAGTTTCACAAAGGACTGAGTGTGCGAATAAGCGAGTGAAAACACAAGCACAGACCATGCTCTAGAGGCCTGGAGAAGGGACTCCTGCATCAGTTTCTGAGCATGCTTCGTATTGCTCTTGACCTGGCATTTCTGTGCTGAAATAAAAATTGCGGAATGCCACCATGACAAAAACAGCACTCCTTTTAAAAATGCGAGAGAATTAAATACAATGGGAAGAGCCCTCATATTAACCCTGTCGGCCATGCGGAGAATTCACACGAGCATCAGGCTCCCACTGGCCGTCCCTAGACCGAGGTGGCCAACGCTGAATGCAGGTAATTCGCAGGGAGCCACGCTGCCCCCCCACTGGCCTCCCCCGCAAAGCACCTGCTTGGCCTCTGTGGAAAGCAGGCTGCAGGGGGGGTGCAGAAGCCCACGGGGGCCCTCACCAGAGTTTTAACCTGGCCTGCCCGGGGGCCAAATGTGGCCAGCCAGAGGTTGCAGTCACCCACCTGGGGTACTCCCTGGTCCTCCAGGACCTTCCCACAAGGCCTGAGGGCTTGCAGGCCTTCCAGCTCTTGTGCATTTCAAGCCCCTCCCCAGCTTCCTTTTTCAAAGGCGGGAATGCCCTCCGCTGAGGTGCAGGAGGAGGAGGAGGGAAGCAGTGGGTGGAGGAACCGGGGACGCAAGAGGCACCCATTTCCCAGGTGCGAGGGCTGAGGCCTCTGAGCCGAGACAGTGGGACGGGGATCCCGTGCCTGGCCTACACCCCCCGGCCTGCGCTGGGAGAGCAGGACAGGCCACCGAGCACAGAATCCCGGGCTCCGCACAGCCCTGCAATCTCTGATCCCGGAAGACAGTTCCCGCGTTATCCGAGGGCGTGACGGGACGGGAGAACCTCCGTCTCGTCTTCCAAGGGTCATTAGAGTGAGGCTCTGCCGCAGCCTCGCTGGCGGAAGGGGGGAGGCCGCTCTTCTGCCTGGCTCAGGGAGCTGTGAGGCCCGTGGTCCTGCCGGCTCCTCGCGCGGCAAGAGCGCGCGTGGAAGGCCCCCGGAGCGGAGCCGATCCCGGCCGGGCCGGAGCCTGCTGTGCGGCACAGCCCCGGAAGGGGCAACTGCTCTTTCCAGCCGCTCCCGTCAGGGGAGGCGGCGAGGCCAGAGGCCCGAAACACGGCCCTGCGAGGGAGGAAGGGTGGAAGGGAAGGGAAGTCCAGCCCTGGGACAGCAGGCGGGTTGCCCGGTCCCTGAAGGGGAGGGCTGTTCCCCACAGCAGAGGGCTGGGCATGTCTGGATGGAGCCCTTTCCCACAGAGTCAGAGGAGCAGCTGACTTTTCCTCGGATCGTCCTAAAATTTCAACACAGGGCAGCAACCAGAACAAAAGCTGCCAGTTTCGGTTGGTGTGTTATGTTATCTAAAAGCAGGTATCTAGAACAGCCGTTTCCCATCCTGGTGCCCTGCCAGAGCATCCAGCTGCCAGTTGCACCCTTCCCGGCCAGCCTGGGGGAGGCGTAGCGCAGCGGCGGACGGAGATCCCTGGCTCAGCCCTCACCACACGCCCAGGCAAGGCCAGGAAAACCTCTCACCTAGAAACTCTAAGGAAGTGGATCTTTCTGGACCACACGGACCACGCCAGGCCTTCCTTCATTCCTGTTCCAATCAGCCTGAACCATGAGGACTAGAGTGCTGCTTCATTTTTAAGGGAAGTTCACCTAGGGAGAGAGCTCCTGCCTCCCATGCAGAAGGTCTGGCATTTGATTCCCCGTAGCATCCCATGTAAGTGAAGAGGAACTAAGAGCCTCTTGATGCGGGTGAAGGAGGGGAGCGCAGAAGTTGGCTTGAAGCTCAACATTAAGAAAACTAAGATCATGGCATCCAGTCCTCTCACTTCCTGGCAAACAGAAGAAGAAGAAATGGGGGTAAGGGCAGATTTTATTTTCCTGGACTCCAAGATCACCACAGATACTGACTTCAGCCAAGAAATTAAAAGACGCTTGCTCCTGGGGAGGAAAGCTATGGCAAATCTAGACAGCGTGCTAAAAAGTAGAGACATCACCCTGCCAACAAAAGTGCGTACAGTCAAGGCGATGGTTTTCCCAGTTGCAATGTATGGCTGTGAGAGCTGGACCTTAAGGAAGGCTGAGCGCCAAAGGATTGAGGCCTTTGAACTGTGGTGCTGGAGGAGACTCCTGCGAGTCCCTTGGACCGCAAGGCGATCAAACCGGTCAGTCCTGGAGGAGATCAACCCTGACTGCTCTTTGGAAGGCCAGATCCTGAAGATGAAGCTCAAATATTTTGGCCACCTAATGAGAAGGAAGGACTCCCTGGAGAAGACCCTGATGCTGGGAATGATTGAGGGCAAAAGAAGGAGGGGATTGCAGGGGTTGAGGTGGCTGGATGGGGTCACTGAGGCAGTGGGTGTGAGCTTAAGTGGACTCCGGGGGATGGTGGAGGACAGGAAGGCCTGGAGGAAGGTTGTCCATGGGGTCGCGATGGGTCGGACATGACTTTGCGACTAACAACAAGCATCCCATGTAGGACTGGAAAGGAATCATGCCTAAAAGCCCAGAGAGACAACTCTGCCAGTTTGTGTCAGAAATACCTGGCTGACTCAGCAGAAAGCAGCTCCTGATGGTCCTCTTTACATCAGCCCTTTATCCAAAACCTTGAGGACTAGAATCTTAGTTTACCCCTATGGAAAGCACTGCTGCTTAGTGGTAAAGCAGCCAAGAGTCAGCTCCCCATGCTTGCCCAGGAGAGTAGCAGTCATGCAACACCCTGGGGGAGGCTAACGTGCAGCACATTCCCCCCCCCCCCCAAGTCCTGCACGGAGCTGGGAAAAGGTGTGCAGAAGGCCAGCTGCAGCAATCTCGTGGTCCCACATTCTGCCCAAGCATCCGTGGCCTAGCTGTGCTTGTCCCACCCTAAAAGGAAGCGTTCTCGCGTCCTGCAGTGGTGAGGCATCCATGAGTATTTTTAATGGAAAGCTTCTTCCAATAGGATTGGATTCCAGGATCAAATATGGTGAGGAATTTGTTCTGACACTCAGTGCGAGGAAAGGGCCTGAATGATGTGGCCTTGGTTTTTTGGACCACTAAGTCCCGAGGCGCATGAGAAGGGCAGTGAAAGCAGCCGGATGTTTGGTGAATCAAAGGAATGGTTTTTACAGGATCTATGTTTGGACAGGTTCCTTCCATACAGTCACGGCATGTTTTATGGCAGCGGCCCGCTTGTAAATCGTGAGGTGCTGGGTGGTCTGCTCATGTTCAGAGAGCGAACGCTCCGGATCTTGCCGGGGATTTGTTGCCCGACCCAGTTGGAGGTGACTCAACGATTTTCAAAACAAAATCATTGCAAAAATATTTAGACAAAAATCAGACCCGCTTTTTCCTTCCCAAAAAAGTGCGTAATGTTCCAACACCCAGAGCATGAGTAAAATACCGCTCTCCCTGTGAACTCCTTTCACTTCCATGCTCCTAAAGAAGCTGCGCCGCTTCTTGGCGGTGGCCCAGTGGCCAAAAACAAGATGGGGCTACTTGATTTACACGGCTACTGGCAGAAAAGCCGAGCCGTGAGCTTGCGGGGTTTGCCCTTAGAATGATCAATGGGCGCACAAACACGTAAAAGTCCCCGCTAGATGCAGGAGAACCCCAAATTTATTATTGTTTATTAAAAGCTTTTGTATGCCGTCCCATGAGACAAGGTCTCAGGACGGCCAAGGGATGTAGCGTACTCTGGGCTCGAGGCCAGTCGGCAGCCCCACCATTCCCCTCCGCCATTTTCACTTCCGCAAGCCCAGCTGCCCCTCCCCCCCGCCCCCAGAGCAGAGCAGAGCAGAGCAGGCCGGACCCACGAGCCCTGGTGCCCAGCATCAGAGTTTCGACTTGCAGAAATGGCCACGTGGGTTTGAGGAAGCGCCTTGCGCAACCTGCAGGCGGTTTGGGGCAGAGCGAGTTCAGCTTCTGTGTTCCGACTTTTCCGGGCAGCCCTTGAGTAACCGGTGGGCACCCGCCGTCCAACCTGCGATGGATGTCTGGAAAACCTCCAGGGAAAGACCGGGAGATTTGGAAACCTGCCCCCCACCCCGCCTCCCCCACTGCACCCCTTGCAGCAGAGATATCTCGGGGTTATTTCGAGGCAAAAGTATGATAAAGAATAGTCGTATCAGCACCTCCTCAGGGAGGTCACAGACGTCCCGACACTGGAGGTATTCGGGATGCAGCTGGACTGCTGCCAGTCAGGGATGCTTTCACTTGGAGTCCGGTGCCGAGCAGGGGGTGGGCCCGACGGCAGCCCCTTCCCACTCGACTCGCTGGGGATCCACAACATTTGCCCATGGCTGAAGCTCAGCTACTGTGAGGTGGCGGGGCGGGGGGGGGGGGCGAGAAAAGCAGGTGCCCTTTTCCCACAAGTAGGGCTGCACCCTAAACATTTCTGCTTGGACCTGTGTGCACCATTTGCCAGTGTGGTGTGGTGGTGAAGGCCTGGGGCCCCGGGAGATCCGGGTTCCAGCCCCTGCTCAGTCATGAAGCTCGCTGGCTGACCACGGACTTGCAGCCTCACCTACCTGGCGGAGTTACTGTGAAGATAAAACGAAGAGGCAGGGTTCCTTGCATGTGGCAGCGTTCCTTGCAAGGAGAAAAACGGCACCGTGGGACTGCTTGCGAGTCTGGAACACTGACTTTAAAGTTACATGTGGAGCTAAGAAAGCTTCTGCTTCTTTTTAGGAAGGGGTGTCTGAACAGGGGAGGGCTGTTGGTTTTGGGAGAAAGCGGCAGGCAGGAAGTGTACCATGCCTGGGCCACACACTCGCTGGTCCAGGGGGATCCGAGGCAGCAGAGGCCCTGCAGCGCAGACCCTGATGGCAGTCAGTGCCCCGGAGAGCCAGGCCTCCTGCCCTCTGAGCGCCCTTTTAAACGGGCTCTTCCTTCAGAATCATGAGGGCTGGAGCTTGCTTTACTGGCAGGAGGCGTTTTTCAGTGTGGTGCAATGGCTCTCCTGAGACTTGACAGAGTGCAGCGGGGGGGGGCATGAGGAAGCCCCCTTGGCCTGCAGAGGGTCCCCGATTCAACTCGATGGAACGCAGCACCTCCTGCGGAGGCTGGGAAAGGCCCCCGGCCTGAGGCCCTGTACAGCTGCTGCCGGTCAGTGTTGACCGGCCTGGAGCACGTGGCGGCTCCATCTCAGCTCGGGGGAGGGAGGCCCTTCCCACACGCTGGGCACTGTCGGCTGCCGGAAGACTTGCGCAGGGGCTTTGCGCAGATCCCCAGCCTCCCTGGGGTGTGCTGGGCGGAGGTGTGTTGCGTGTGCACAGGTGCGGGGGGCGGAGCTGCAGCCCAGAAAACAGCGAGCGCCCCTACGGAGCAAGAGCCTGTCTTTGATGGCATCTGCGATTGCCCCCTTTGCCCTCCTGAGAGGAGACTCCGGGGCTGCCTTGTCCACTCACCTGAGGAAACCTCAGAGTCAGAGAATGGAGGAGGCACGATGGAAGCCCGGGGTGAGGAGACTTTGCAAAGGCTGCCCTTTAAAAAGGTGGCTCCGTGACTCGGGAAAAGCCGTCGAGACTCCAGCGAAGAGGAATGCCGTCTGGGTTTGCCCATGAGGTAAGTTCCTGGAGAAGGTGCATGCCTTGAATTCCAGGGTCCTGCCCGAGAGGTCGGGATGTGCCTGCAGGGACGCCGAGGGCGGCTGAAATCCCTTCCGTCCACGTTGCACGAACGATCCGGCGTCTTTCAGGCAGTCGTCTGCTCGGTGATGGAATGGTGTCTGTTTCAAACCAGCATTTCATTCCACGTGTGCTAAATGGCATTCGCTCACGCATCCATTAGCACTACACAAAGCGAACCAGTGCAGAACTGCAGCTCATGGGAATTACCACTTCCCACCCTCCAAAATGTAGAGGCCCTGTGGGACCTCAGGAAGGCCAGAATCCCTGGGGGGCAGGCATCCAAGCCGCTTTGGCTCTGCTGCCTGCCCCGTGGGAAGCCGATCCTACACTCCGCCACTCACCGTTAACAAGGGGCCGGGTGGCCTGTGCCAGGACTGTACGTAAGCCTTGGGTGTGGGGCCGGTGGGAGGAGGGGCAGTTGCCCAGCCTGAGATCCAGGACGCAGCCAAGCTCTTTATTCCTGCCAGATTTCAGTGAGTTAAACAGGCCAGTAGCACATGCTCCCAGTGTCCAAGTCTGTGGCTGTCGGGACTAGCAGGTGGAGTCGAGAGGGTTGGCACCGGAGGTTGCGGGGAGAGGAATGGGCGTCTGGTCTCACACGGCTTCGAGCAGCGATCCTCCCGCGGCCCCCAAAGCGGTCCCACATCCCCACCTGGTGGCCTCTTCCTGCCATGCAGCGAGTCAGAGCCTTCCAGCAGCGCCGGTCAGAAGGCCTCCAGATGTTCGGGCCTTCTCCCGGCGAGCCTGGTTTTCGGGCACGCTGGCAGGGGGCTTTCGGAGTTGCTGTTTTCGTGTCTGTCTGTGGCCAACAGCTGCAGCTGTCCAGGCCGTTTACAACAGTTTTTGAAGTAGGGCCATAAAAGCCCTTGAACATTTCCGGAATAGAAAGTGTAAAAGTGAAAACAGCACGGCTCACAGAACCGGGAGTGGGGTGCCAAGAATGAAGACATTAAACACCCTCAGCTGTCCTTACACGCCTTGGCGCTGAAGGCAGTCGCAACCGGCCGCTGCAAGAATGGCAGAGTCGGGGCCATGCGGGGCCACCAAAGAGGCAGCCATGTCTAGCTGCCACCCCGTCTTCCTTGGACTCGGTGGCAGGCTTCAGCTACTGAGCCACCCTGGGCAAAGATTCAGGCTGGGAAAAGCTGCTCCGTCAGGATAGCTGCGAAGGCTGAACGGGTCAGGCCAGCCCCTGGAATTGGGCCCAGTGCGAGTGCTTGGACTTTCCGACCCCGGCTGCGTTTTGCATCAGCAAACAGTACTTGAGCCCTTCAATGTGGAAGTTCAGCCTTTCGAAATTTCAGGGAGATGACCCGAGGTTGAGAAGCCCTGAAAGGAGGCGGGGCCACACAAGGGGGTGGAGCAATCGGAGGCCTCCCACCTGGTGTTCCGTCCCACTTACCTGCGTTTCTGCAGCCCTGCATGACAAACAGCTCGGGCTTTTGCTATGAGTAGGGGCACTACCACCTTTGGCCCTGAGCTCAGCAGCTTTCGGGTGCATGCAGCTCCAGACAGAAAATACTTCCTCCACCTGCTGTCATCAACACCGTCCTGTTACTGGGGAAGTGCTGGGGGACCGGTTTCGGATACTTGGAGCAGCCGGAGAATCGACACAGCATACTTTAAAATTTTGTTTACTAAATATATATATAAGTCAGTTAAACATACTAAAAACAGATTGCAATCAATTCAGAGTGCTGGAAAAAAAATAAATGAGGAACATCTCCAACTCCGTACTTTCCGGAAGGCCTGCCCAGAGGCCCCCGTCAGCACGCCCCTGGCAGGGAATGCTGGGAGCTGCAGGGCACCGGGCTGGGGAAGGCCACTTGTATTGCACTGTTGGGGGGCCCCACCGGCCCTTTTCCTTCAGGGATCGAGTCAAAGCACTGGCTGTGGCGGCAGGAACTGTGGGAATCAGCCTTGGCAGCCCCCCACCCCACCAGGACAGCACTGCCCATTTGTCCAGCTCAGTTTTAAGGGCCCCCACCCCCTCGCAAGATAGGATGACCGCCAAGAAAATGTCGATTTTAAAACGGGGAACCAAAGGGGAGGAAGCACTGGGAAAGCCAACTGCACCTGCACAGCCTTGCAGGGGTGTCTTTAAAAAGATGCAGAAGAGGTTTTGCAGAGCTAGGTGCGAGCAACTCAGAACTCGAAGAGTTCCCTCCGAGGTTTGCAGAAAACGTGGGAATTCTCATCCCCGCACCCCAGCATTCACCCGAGCCTCGACAACCCTAACCTGGCCTACCCTATTTATTTTAGGGGACTGCAGTGGGACAACCAAACCCCGACCGGCTCCACGGTGTTGATCCTCCCAGCACGGAAGTTGGCACTCACGTGCAAAGCATCCGGGGGCACAAGCCCCACCACCTGTTCCCCTGCCAGCCATCCTGAGCAGAGCTTCGGAGGTGCTCCATGTGGCACCTGCCTTCTGGCACCGTAAAAGTTAACACATTTAACCTGCAACCCTAGGCAGGAGGCAATGGCCTGCAACTCCCTATACACGCATGCGGTATCCTGGCAGGGGCTTCTGGAGACCGTGGTGTGCTGCATCCGATGCAGGGAGTAGGAAGTGTTTCCAGTTTGCATGCCAAACCCGCACTCACTGGGGGGGAACTGGCGAGGAGGAGTCCCCGATGCTTAGGCAAACCCTTTGGAAAATACGTTTCAGTTTGCAAGGGGCTGTCGTCTTCTTTGCGATGCACCGCAGGCACCCAGAGAACCTGTTTTATGCTCAGAGATGCATCCTTGAAGAGCCCAAAAGTTCAGCCTGCTTTGCCCACCCGTAACAAGAAAGCAGTTTGACAACTCTCCATCTGCCAGGAGCAGCCGTGGGTCCCAGGAAAATGACTCCTTGCATTGCGAGAATAAGGTATTGTTGCCGGAGGGATTAATTCCCCCAGAGCAACTCCCGCTCACAAAAGGAGCTTCGTGCTGACTCTGCCAGTCCTGGCACTGCTACTTCATGGGTGAACATTGTTATTTTTTTTTAAATCAAGACGTTAGAACTTATTAACCACCTGCCACCCTCCCCAGTATTCCAGGCATCTGATGAAGTGGGCTGGAATAAATTTGTTAAGTTTTTAAGGTGCCACAAGACCTGCTCTTTTGCTACGACAGAATAAAAAGCGAGACTCCCCCGAGGAATTATTAAAAAATAAACAAGGTTCAAGAACATCCTTGTGATGCAGTCCACCAACAAACGGCTTGGAGGACGAAAAAAATATGCCATCCCCACCTTGGCTGAAAAAGAGAAGAGTGCAGAAGCCGTCTGTGCCAGGACAAAAACGTTAAATAAAATAAATTACTAAAGGGGACAGATAAAGTTTGCAGATGTCATCAACCCAAGGGAGCTCAGAATTGGAATTTCCTAGCACGAAAGACACCGTGCCTGCCATTTTCCCGGGAAGGCTGGCCAGAAATTACATGGGCCCATTGCAACCCTTTGCAGCCCCCTCTTGCAACCCAAATTCCCCGGGTTTTGCAAACAGACATGGGGGGCGGGGGGGGGGGCCTCTCACTGAGAGATACTATAAGAGCAGAACCAGTCATAGCTTCGAGGTCAAAAAACTCCGAACGAACAATTCAAATAGCGAGACCAGTGGAAGACAAGCGAGCGCTCAAGAAGTTTCTTTCCACGGTGTGGCTGCACTTCTCTCAAAGACTTTCGTCCTGTGTGGACGGCTGCATTTCGATGGCAAGCCACCTGGCTGGAGTCCACGGTTCTGGGAAGCAAATGCGGCTGGCTGCACACCCCACGGGAGGCTGCTCCCCGGTTCTTCATCAGCTAACCAGTCCCGAACTCCATTTAGAGTGAGATTCAGTCTCCGCCGGTTTCAAAGACAGACTGAGACCAACCCTCTGCTTGTGACCCGCTGGCACGACCCAGTCCACCTGGCTTCCAAAGTGCGGCATTTCGTTCGGCCGAGGTGGCCAAGGGCACCTGCTCTGCACGTGTCACCGAGGATGACAGCACCCGGAAGAACTCCAGAGAAGCACCTGGGCTGGATGCGGGGCAGGGTGCCCCCTGCCCCAGCGGTCCAGTTGAAGGAGGTTCGGCCAGGGAGAGAAGGGTCTGAACACACCTTTGCCCTGCCCTAAATCCACGGAATCTCTCCTGCTAGCAGAGCCGAAAAAAGGTTTCCAGAGAAAGCCTCTCGTCTTTTTCTAAGGTACGAAGGGGCGAGTGAGCAACATGTAGCTTGAGGCACTGGGAAAGGGGGCTGAAGTGTGCAATGAGCAGAGCAGAGAGGGGCGGGGAGAGAGGGAGAGGGAGAGACCCCCTGCTCCTGGGGTCGCGGGGCAGGTTCCTCCAGCTTCTTGGAAGAGTCTCAAAACAGAACAGAAGCTGTGCGTTGCAGGCGCCAAGGTACTCGGTTGCCAAATTCGGAAAAGGCAGTAGTCAAGGTGAGTTTTTCTTTTTAAAAAAAATGCCATTTTTTAAAAAAATGCCACCCAGGTATTTGGTGTGGAGTGGCGAGAGGAGGAGGGGAGTTCGCCGTAACAAGAACAGATCGGCCCCTTGAGGCGAGCTGCACGGGGTGGCCCCCGACAGGGCGCGCTACGAACCCCTTTGGGGGCGGCTCCGTCCTCCCTGCGCGAAGGGGGAGCACCGCCAGCCCCATGGCGAGACAGACATGTCACCTGCTGCTTTGAGCTGCACGGCGACGGGGGACACCTGCGGCGCTCCACTGGCAACCAGACCCCCCCCCCGCGTCAGAGCTAGCAGGGGGGTCAAATCACCCTGCCGGGGCCACCTCCTCCCCGCTGCCCAGGTGGCTCCTCCGGGGCCCAAGCGGGGTGGGGGCCTCAGTGGCACGACGGAGCCGGGAGGGGCCTTTGCAGCGGGGAGGGCGAGGAAGGCGGGCCGGAGCCGGTTCTTCTCCCGGCCTCGGCCCTCTGCGCGGGGGCGGCTCCTCCGCAGCCGCCGGGGAAGTGCAACAGCAGGGGCGACGGGGCGCGCCCGGGCTCAGTGCTCGTTGTGGCAGTTGATGCTGCTCTCGGAGAGCTCCAGCACGTTGAGCATCTCCTCGATGATGGCCCGCAGCGCCCGGCCCAGCTGCTCGGCGCTGTAAGGTTTGCCCAGCGGGGGCACGTGCACAAAGGCCGACCGGCCGTGGCTCTGGTAGAGGGACGTGTAGTAGGTGAAATCGCAGAGGTACCTGTGTGGGGAGAGGAGGAACAGGGTCGGCCGGGGCCCTGCCCGAGCGGAGCGGGGGGACGGGGGGAGGCGGCTCGGGGTCCCGCTGGCGGCATCACATGCCCGAGGAAGGCGCCCAGGGCTCCCTCCGGGCCGCCGGGCAGCTCCCTCTTTGCCCTGGAGTGGCATCACACTAGAGCTGGATGCCAGGGGAGCAGCGATGGGGGCCCCGAGGCCCCAGCCGGTCCCCACGGCAGGACTCCTCCACCTGAGCCCCTCTCCGCCCCTCCCCGTACCTGCCCGCATCCTTCGATATCGTGACAGCGACGTCCAGCCCCAGGGCGGAGACCCGCTTGCACACGGCGTCCATGTCGATGACGGAGTCGATGCACTCCGGCCCGCCCTCGACGCAGCAGTGGGAGCCGGGGCAGAAGCGGCAGTTGTCCAGGCCCCGGTATCCCACGTTGTGGCCGCACTTCTCCAGCGTCACCGTCGTGGCCATGCCGGACAGGCCCACATGGACCACCAGCTGTCGGGGGAGGAAAAGCGCCCCGTCGGAGACACTCCAGCGCTCGGGAGCAGCCCTTCCCATCGAGTCCGTCTCCCTCGGTCGCAGCCTGCTCGGACCGCCGAACGAACGGGCAGTGCTAAAGGGCGGCTGCGGACCACGTCCACGTCCTGCCACGGCCCTCGTTCCCCCCCTCCTGGCTCCAGGCTCACTCACCTGCGGACTGTGCTTCTCCCACAGGGCAGGAATGAGTCTCTGCACGGCCTGGTACTCCACGGGGATTTCATAGACATGCAGGTCCACATCTTCCCGGAGGCCCATTTTCTCCAGTTCCTGCAAGGAAAGCCAGAGTGAGATGGGGGGGCGGAGGGGGGGAGAGCACAGTGGGGCCAAAGATTCGCCCACGCGTCCCACCTGCTGGGGCTCAGAGAACGTGCTTCCGCTCCTAATAAGCCAAGCTTGGATAAACATTACCCAGATCTAAGCACCATTTTCGACACAGTGTTCGTTGCCCGGCCGAGGTGGACGCTTGCTCGCTCGGCCCTCTCAGCACGACCAGCCCAGGAAGGATGGTGGAGGCGGTGGAGAGGGCTCCCCGGAGGGCCTGACCGGCCCACGCTGGAAACAGGGCCCTGGTCCAGCCCAATTCCTTGGCCCCACAGGTGCCCGTGAAGAACATGCATCAGACCTCCCTCCCTGCCGTGATGCCAGGCCAGGTCCCGGCACAGACCGGGCCCTGCAGCCACTCAGAGCACATGGCAGGAGTGCCGCAGGTGACACCTCACCTGCGCCGCCCACCACTCCCCTGGCCGTTGAGCCTTGGCCATCGTGCCCGTGCTGGCTGGGGCCCAGCTTGGGCGGGGCATTTGGGCTGCTCCGTGCCTGCAGCTTCACCTGCCGGCGACCGCTCCCCCCAGGTGAGCAAGGAAGTCCGGCCCAGGGGAAGCTGGCTCTAATTCTGGACTGGCCACACAGGTCTGGGGTGACTCTGGACCAGGCCCAGCTCAGCCTGACCTACCTCACAGGGATGTTGTGAGGAAATGGAGGATCCTGAAGCCACCGTGGGCTCCGTAAAGAAAAGGCATGACAGACACGTACGAGAAAACGGAGGCTGACCCACACTCCACATGCTGGGGCTAAAAAAGGGAAAAGGCATGCGTGGGCACGACAGGGGGTCTCTTTTCAACCCCTGCGCATGCTTGCTCGGGAGTTAGAAGGAAAGCGGCCCAGCTGCTCTCTGCGTTTAACAGGAAATACAGTTTGCCACTCATTGCATGTTTTCGGTCCTGCTGAACCTGGAACTATTAAACCCGTCTGTGCCGGGCTGGGGAATTAGGCCAGGCGCAGATGAAAACAGCCCCCCCCACCGCCACTTCACAGCCCAATCCCTCATGTGGGGTGGGTAAGTCCCGGGGGCCCCAGACCCAGCCAGCTTCCTTCCGTGCAGTCTGCATTACATATGGAAATCTTGCCGGGGCGGGGCGGGGCGGGGGGGCTTCATGCCTACTTGAATGCGAAGGGGCCAGCCAGCCAGGACATCCGCCAAGAGGAAATTCACAAAGCAGGTTCTTGCATGGTGGGGCACAGTACCACTGGGGGGGTGGGATGTCTCCTCCCCTCCCCCACACCCCAAACGTGCAGTACCAGATCTAGGCTGCTGCCTTTCTCTCTCTCTGCTGCCAAATGCTTTCCCGGGAAGAAAAGCAGCAAGAGTTCGGGGAAAAGCAGCCCGGGGACCCGGCCACGCCTCCAGAAAGAGGGAACTGGATCCATGCTCCCCAGCCGGGGCCATGGGACCATTCCCACCACTGCCCCCATCAGCCCGTGAGCACACGCCCCCCACACCATGTCCCTGGCAGTTACCTTTGCTATTTTACAAGGATACCCATTTCACAGACGCGGAAGAGAGACACCGAGAGGCAGCGGATTGCCCGGGGCGATTCATGGATCGGCATGCATGCCCCGCACCGGCTGCGCGGTCGGGAAAGGGGGCCTGGGGGTCTGTGGGGGGGGGCGCCTGGGGAACCCAGCAGGTCCGGATTCGGTACCCTCACCCGCGGACCCACACCCCTGGCTGAAGACCCCTGCCCTTCCGAGCCCCCAGCCCCTTCCAGCCCTAGCACAAGCCCCGAGCTGAACACTGACTCGACCGCGGGACTGAGGAACGGCTCCGAGAGGTCGCATAAATCTTGCTTCCCAACGGGGACGCCCCCCCCCCCGCCCGTGCTAGCAAAGGCTTCCTCGCCCAGCCGGCGTTTTTCCAGACGAGGCAGCAGGGCCAGTGCGCACGTGGGTGGGGTGGGGTGGGGTGGGGGGCAGCCGAGATAAGCAAGCCTTGTCTCCCTCCCGCAGATGGTGCCTGCCTGCCTGCCTCTCGAGGGAGTCCGTCCGCTTCCCCTCCCTCGTTTTTGTCAGCTGGGGGGGCGCCCCCAGCCGAGGGAGCTGCTGTTCTGCCGGGCCAAGGCTTGCCTGCCTTGCTTCCAAAACAGCAAAATATTTGCTGACTCAACCTCCCCTGACAATCCTGAATTTCTCCTTCAGGGGCTGCCTGAAAGTTGGGGCGCTCGGGAGGATTTTAAAAAGCACGGAGCTGAACTTTTTTGGGAGCGGGTGCGGAGGCATCCCAGAGTGTCTCTGGCCGGCCTGCACGCCCCTCCGGCCCACAGACGGGCGCAGCCGCCGGGGGGGCCTTCCTCGGTTTTCTCCGGGAGTGGAAGGCAACGCAAGCCCGTGTTCTGCCCAGGCCCGAAGCACCCAGTTCAGCCAGCAGGTACTTTTCCGGCAAGCGAAGGCAGGCCCGGCATGGAGCGGACGAGGAGGGCCGTGCCACTAAAGCCGACGTCCCCAAACTGGGCCCATGCCAGTGCGCAGGACTACAACTCCCATCGCTCCCTGCCAGCCAAAGCCAGGGCGGAGCTCACCCACAGACGCCGGAGCGGACATGCGGGGCGGCAGCAGGCCAGGGAAAGGGGGGAGACGGCAGAGGATGCGGACCGGGCGGGCGGGAGGCACCGTGGAACGCGGCTGCTTTGAGGCCCACGAGCCACGGCCCTCGTGGCCGGGGGGCTGCGCAGTCCCTCGTGGCTGGGCTGCCCTCCGAGGACCAGAAAGGGGGCGAGAGGCAGCGAGTGGGGGTGTCCTGGGCCACGGGCTGGCATAAAACGGGAAGAGGCGCGTCCACGTGGGGCAGTCGCCCTCCACGGCTCCTCCGTGGGCAGAAGAGGTCTAATGGGGGCCGCCGTCGTGGATGGGGGTGACCCGGTGGGCAGGGGGCTGTGGCGGCTCGCTCCGCTCTGGCCTGGGGAACGTCCGGGCAAGGAGGCACTGGGGGGGGACTTCCGCTTCGACACAGACCCACCGCCGGGAGTGCTCAACAGCGAAGGCCCACAGAAGGGGGACGGGGAGTTCCTGAAGAAAGCCGAGGAGGATCCGGGAAATGGAGCGGCGATAAATCACGAGCCGAGCCGCCCGACGCGCCGCAGGAGACCCGAGGCCTGAACCGTGCGCGGGTCTGAAGAGCCCGGTGCATTGGCACAGCAGGGGCTTGGGGGGCTCAGGCAGCCCAGGCGAGGCCGGTCGGGAGGAGGAGAGAAGGGGGAAGGCTGAGGCAGAGGTTCCTGCCACAGGAGAGCCGCACCCTGCGGAGGGTGCAGGCAGCCTTGCCCAGTGGCGGGAGCAACCGCCTGGCACGCACCGGGCCCGGCGCAAGCCCTCCATCTTCCGCCAGGCTGTCAGGGAGCAGAAAGGGGCGATCTTGGCCGGCCGAGCCTGGAACCGGAGCGCCCGACACACGGAGGACACACGGCGCGGGCGCTGGGCAGCCTGCAGAGGAGCCTTCGACGCGAGTCTCTCCAGAGGATTAAAGGCCATCGCAGCGCCTTCAGCCAGCAAGGGGCGGACTTCCCGAAATTTGGCAGACCGTGTGCTCCGAGGCCCAAAGTCTCACTCCAGCCCTTGCCTGGGGGAGGGGGCTCCGGGGCCTCCCCCCCCCACCCGCTCCACACTCGGCTCAGCTGAGGAGCCCCTTCTGCACTCTGGCCAGCTTCCATCCGAAAACCACACGGGGCTGCAGCAAGCCCAGACGCAAGCGCGAGGCGCCCCACCCATCCCCTGGGAAGCCCCCCTCCACTCTGCCTACGAGGGACCCCCGCTTGCCCCCGCACTGCAGCCTTGCCCGGCTACGCAGAGGCCGAGCCCCCCACAGGAGCCGACTGACGCAGCCCCCTCGCCTTCGGAGGCAGCAGTGCGCACGCCGGCTCGGGACTGGATACGGCCCGTCCTCCGCCAGGGACGGGGCTGAAGTTCAGAGCTCGTGTACAAGTACTCCAGGGCCACCCTTCCAGGCGGGACCCCCCCCCTGCCACCACGGGGGCCCCACGCGGCCTCGCTCACCCAGCTCAGAGCCTGCAATCTTGGCCACCTGGAACGGACACCTCTGGGACTCCCGTGCCCCCTCACAAGGCAGAGCGCAGCTTGCGATAACCAGGGTGGGAGGCGGCGGCTGCGGATTCTGCCAGGCCCGCTTGGCCGGGACCGGCCAGGGGTCAGCCCCAGCTGGGCTGCCTTCAGCCAGCCCCGGCCTCTCCGCCTGGCCCACCTCGCAGGGCTGTGTGAGGGTAAAGAGGAGGCTTGCAGGTGCCAGCTTGGAGGAATGGCAAGATGAGAGTGGGGCAGATGCCGGGGGAGACTCTCCCGGGGGCTGAGCAAGTACCCCCCCCCCGACCGGACTGCCTGTCCTGGTGCCCCCAGATAGTTGGACTGCCGATCCCACATTTTGTCCTCAAAACCTCTGGAAAGAAAGTCAGATTTGGGAAGATGAGGAAGGAGAGCCAGCCCTTTGGGGAAGGAAGGTGCTTCTGCCGGCAAACACCCTTCAAAAACAAGCGAGTTTCACAACTATGCAACCCACAACCAGTTCGGTTGTTTTGTTTCGTTTTGTTTTAACCAAGCACAGGGATGCTATTCAATTACTAGGCATGTGGGGAGAAAACAGATCCTGCCCCCAGACAAACTTATTATCTGCCGCTTGTGTACCTGACAAACAGAGAAAAACCCCGAGCGCGTGTGACCGATTCCCTGACCCTGCCACAATGGCTGCTTTGTGCGATTCTAATACCCTTATCTGCTTTGTCTAGACGCCCCGACAGCGATTGTCCGCGCCGATGTCGGGACGCGCTCTGACCTCACTCCTCGCCAGCCCCGGGGGGCCCTGGACGCGGGCAGGGACGACTCGGGCACCGCAGCCAATTAACTTGCTCTCCAGGGCACACCTGGAGAGGGCTGCACGGACCTGCTGGAACGCCGCCCGGCCCACTTTCCCGAAAGGCCGGGCG